CTGAACCCGATCTCCGCCAGCTTCATCCGCATTCGCATTCGCATCTTCATCTCCTTCTGGCAGTGCCTGGCCATATTTTAACTTAATTAACTTGCAACTATTTAAGTGAACAACACAAGTGGCTCGTTTTCGTGTCACCTCGCCGCTTTCTCCTTTCTCCACCACGCTCAAGGATTTTTCTCCCATTTCTCCTTGTGTGAGAAATCTGGTTCTGGTTCTTCAGGTCGCCTCCTTGGCACACTCAATGACTACAAATTGTGGTCATCAGAGGAGGCGGAGGACCTGAGGCTCCAGGGGCAGTTCCAGAATTAAAGGTGGAAATAGGAAATAGGAGATTTCGTTTGTCACGTTCCAATGGGGAGAAGGAAAGAAAGCGGGAAGGAGAAAGTGGAAAGTGGCAAGCAGGCGGGGAAATGATGGCCATCAGTACTATGGAGCCAAGGCACGTATGCCGGCGGCGCCCCTCCCCCAATTTTACCGCCCATCCTGCCATCCAGTTTTCCGCAAGTTTTCTCCTTCTGGCCTTTTCGCCCCGACTCCAACGATTGGCACTGCGATTTGTATAAAATTACAATTTCATTTGAAGCCAGAGTCCGTGAATTGAGGTCGATAGAAGGCCTCTATCTCTGACTGCTTGCCCCGCTTTCTCCGGCATCTCTTTTTTCCCTGCCTCCCTTTCTCCCGGTGGCTTTTGCTTTTATAGTATTTATGTGCGGTGAGTGGAGCACATCAGCTATGTGAGATCTCGCAACCAAAAGCCTCTACTTTGACAAAAAAAAAAATAGGAAGCTAAGGTTTACTGATTTCTTGACACTTTCAAATCAATCTGAAGAGCAACTTGCAATGAAATGTTTTCGGTTGTGATTAAAAGATTATAAAGTCCCTTGAATTTATAATTGGTTTTATCCAGAATTTTATATTTATAAATGATTTCTGTTTTATTGTAAATTTTATTAAAGCCATAAATCTCTTAAGGAAGTGTCTAAAAGTATGCAACAATATATTTTGAGTGCTGAAGGCAATGCCATTTTTTTAAAGCATACTTTTAGGCATCCTTGAACTAATTCTTTTTCTAAAAATGTGCTCAACTTCATAATTTATTTTGGTTTTATTGTCCTACGTTTTTATTGAAGCGTAAAATGAATGAAAGAGGTTCCTAAAAGTAGGCAACACTATATTTAAAGCCCAAGAGGCCACATAATTTTTTACTGCATACTTCTGGGCACCTTTAAATGTGATTTTAAACCCCCTATAAAAAAAGCATCTCATAGTCGATCATCGGAAAATGGGAAATTAACAGTTTTCCATTTCCTTAAGCGCTGATTTCGCGGGTGCAGCTGCAGCGACTCAAGTCGAATCCGGAGCTCATTATGCGACTAGCGCCCGACTTTCCCCACCCATTGTCAATTGCAATTCTCTTAATTAGTTTCTGATGCTGGTGCGTTTCTCTGTAGTTCTGTTGGGATCCTTGGATCCTTTGGATCCCTGAGACCCGGTCCCCCGGCTGTCCATCTGCTGTTTTTGGCATTTTCGTTCGACTTTCGGACAGTCGCTGATGTAATTTTCTGCTTGTTACGTTTCATTCGCTTTTTCCTCATTTTATTTTATTTTGCCATTTTCCTGGCATGGCGGCGGTGGAAAAGGAAGATGGAGTTTGTTTTGGTTGCTAGGAATTTATTCAAATTGGAATTTAATTGAAATGTTTGTCATTTGGAAGCTTTCCCACACACCCACAGACGTGCATGTGTATTTTCTATATATCTATAGATATATATATATAAATTGATATATATATATCCATAGACATTTACATCTCTCGCATTTGACTTTTTCCAATTCGCTGCGGTTCCCAATTTTCCCCAATTTTCCCCGTTTGCCATTGTTTTCCACTGTCTGTTTATTTATTCTGCGGCTTACTTTTCCCACAGCTCGCAGAGCGAGTAATTCTGGAATTTCAAGAATTTTAACTTGGTAAAAACCAACTTCTCTTTCCCCAAGGAACTATTTTGAGTAGGGAAATTCTTCGGGGATTTCTTTGTCAGTTTGTAATTCTCATTTCATTTTATGCTCTCTTAGTTATCAAATGAAAATAGCAAGTACCCCTATTATAACTACACATTTTAATTTCTTTTTCCTTAAACCAAATGGGTAAATTTGGTTTATTCCAAGCACATTTGTCAAAGTTTTTGGGTTCTTTGAATTAGGATATTTCTGTCGTAGGAAAGATTGGGAGAAAGCAATTGAATTGCATTCTCTGCCAGGGAATTTAAAACTTTTGGCTTTGTAATTTATATTTTTTTTTGTGTTGCATTCCCTGGTTGCCTCACATCCGCTTGGAACATGTGTTTTATTTTGTAAGTAGGAAGTGCGAAAATCGTCTGGTTAACAATGATTCGGGGCCCGGGAAAAGCGGAAAAGCGGGTAGAAAATATATATATAGTTAGAGTGGCAGAGTGAATGTGAATCACAATATGCTAAAACAGATGCAAAAAGTGGGAAATAAATATTTTGCCAGCAATCACAGCAATAACAACAACAACAACTGAGTGTTGGGCGCAGTTTTCTAGCCTTAGGTTAGTTATTGTTTCTGGACTCTCTCTCTGTATTTTTCGGCCTGTAAACCAATTTGCCGAAAAACCAGGCAACAACAGCAAGGGAAAATGTTAAAAACTGGCCAAAAACGAGCACACCAGCAACACAAATGGCAACAAAAATTGGCATTTGCAAAATTTTGTAGCCCACAAAAAATATATATACACACTCACACCAAGGAAAAAAAGTGAAAGCTGCGAGTTGAAGGGGCAGGAGAAATTTTTATAGTGAACACGGCTAACGAAATTGAGCTGCCGCAATGCCCGCAGAAAAGTGGAGTGCCCCCTTGAGTCCCCCCCCCCTGGCTATGCACCACCCACTGGGGAAAAACCACCCAACCACCCAACCACCCACCACCCACCAAGCCAAGCTTTTGCAACATAAACCAAAAATGCAGTCAATACAAATATAAATAACTGACAGGGCCAAACAATCAAAAGCATTTTACCCCTACTCGCTGAAAAGCCACGCCCACCGCCCACCGCCCACTTGGGCACACACACACACAAATATAGGCTCACACACACTTACACACACACATAGAATATTGCGTGTCTGTGTGGGCTTGTGTAATATATGGAAACGAATTTTCGGCGTGATTGCATCGCGAATACACGGCGTATACGTAATGCATTTGTAAAATGTAAAACGCACCGTGCACCTTGCAATTTTCCAGCCTTAATGAACATGCAAAAGGAGCCACCAGCTTAACTTAATGGAAATTTTGTGGTGGCCAAATTGGATTTTTGGGCCCCCCCAGACTTGTTGAAAGTGTAATGGAAACTCTGATTTATGACCGCTCCCATGTGAGCCCTTCATTCTGCTTATGAGCAAGAAATCGACTTCCGGCTTCGGTTTGTTCATAAAAATGTTTGCTCATTTCATCTGCAAATACTTGGGACAGGCCAGGAAAAAAGCAGGGAAAAACCCAGGGAAAATCAAATCAGCTCAGTCAGGCACGTTTCCACGGGCCATTAGCCATTAGCCATCTCCGTTTGCCCAACGCCTTCAATTTCATCAGGCGAAGGGCAGCCGAAAAACTGAGCCACATATTTTTGGGAGGGGGGGAATACCAACCCTGACCCCCCTGGAAAACCCAGGAAAATCCGGGCAACACGTTCGCCACTGTTTGTTTAAATTTGCAACGTTCTACGGACAGAGCCGCGATCATTTGACCATTTCCGTTTGTGTACTTTATGCCTTCTCCACGTGCCCCACCATTTTTGCAGCCATGAAAAACTGGCAATAATATTGTGGTAATATCATTTCGCAATTTAGTTTTGCCCACAGACACGAATTCTCGAACAACAATAGAAGCTAACCGAAAAACTAATTTCATATATGGTATATGGGTGTGCTATACATACATTTCGAGGAGTATTTACCCGTTGAGTTCGGTGCAATAAAAGTGCAAGCGGTTGTGTGTGTGTGTGTAAATTTTGGTCAGCAATGGAAAATTGCAAATTAAATTATTGCACACAGAGCGTTCTTTCTCTTTTTTTCGCCTCCCCGCAATCCGCAGCTCAGCATAAAAATATGAAAATAAATATTAGTACTGAGATCTTACAATTTTCCACAGCATTAAATTTCACTTAGCATACAGAAGGCTGGAAGAAAAAATGGTAGATGGAGATGGAGACGAGCGAAAAAATAGTTTTTCCCATCGCGAAGTGCAGCTCGTTAAGCGTCTGAATCTCGACTAGCCCCTGACAGACATTCCAGATAGCGAAGGAGTATAAAGGACGCGGGTGGGGAAAAAATTGGGCGGGGAGTTCATGAGGCAATATGAGCCTGAAGCCCCAAGGCACACACTCTTAAAACTGGAGGATGTAAGTAATGAAACCTATGAATTTTGGTCGGAACGTATTTGCCAAGCTTAAAAATATGTGAAAAAATATAAAAATATAAAAAAACCTGTCGAAAAAACGCAGGTGTAGTCCATAACCCAAACCAGTTGAGCTACTGCCTTCAAATTTTTATCATATATTCTAGTTATAGGATAGGTCAACACTAAGAACTTATACCAAAAAATAACAAAGAAAAAAAATTTAAAAATAAATGTATATTGGAACATTTTCATATCTTAAGGTATCAGAAAAATATATTTTGCAAATCACATTTATCAAAACATACCTTTAACATATAAACAGATTTACAAATAATATTTATAATAATATACCTATTATAATATTCTAATAATTTTTTGTTGGGCATCTTAGCTCAGTAAGACCCATAAACTGTGCCAAAATCAGGGTATTCTGCCTTCGATCTGGCCAAAAGCCCTTCTTGGCCAACTAAAATAAGTGGCTTAGCTGGAGCATCGCTGAAGTGCACGACAGTTTTGTGGGGCTTTGAGTGCTCGGGCTGCCAAGGTGGCCACACCACGAAAGTTTCGAGGTTAAATTTACCTTTTGTGCTAATACCGGCTGCAGTTACCTTGGCTCGTCGGCTTTGGGGTCTGCTCTGCTATCCTCCGCCTGCAAGTGGAAAAGGGAAAAACAGAAATCAAATATTTGCCATATCAGTTTTATATGTATATTCTTTTGCACCCCCAAAATAAAAACGGAATAAGGGAATGGGAGGGTAAACTCATTAGGAACGTGCACATTAAAGGCATTGCAAATGATATTTACATATTTTATTTCGCAGCTTTTTATTTGCCCAGCATTCGAAGTGGAAACAGAGGCTAAAACAGGCGCCTTTCATTAACTTTCGGCTATTTGTGTGTCATCAGATGAACCGACCAGGGATATAATTATTCTTTGGCCCCCCCAAAACAAAAAGCCGTAAACAAATTTCTGGCGCTGTCGAGAGTCCCCGGGGATGAATTCATTTCAAGACGTTCTCTTTATCATTTTTCCTTCTTCGGGTAGGTAAATGTTTTTTTTTTTATATTTTTGTTTTGGGTCCCTCATAGACGCACCTTACTTATTTTGTATGTGTACCTGAGTATACTTGTACATTTAAATATCTATGTGTCGGTTGTTGTCTTCAGGTTACTTTGTTGTTTGGCTTGTTGCAGCCGAAAGATAACAGGGACTCGGTGGGTGGGTGGTGATGTCCTTGCCGGGATTCAGGATACAGGATACAGCCACCTGGGAGCGCAGGACAATACAATACAGATCCTATCGCTGACTCAGGAGGGGGTCAGGGGGTCAGGGGGCAGAGAGAGTTCATTGGGTGACGATGACAGCAAATTGCATTAAATGAACTAGAAGAATGCCTCCAGGCGAGACTGATTGGAGACCTGCCGAGCCATTCAAATGTAAAACAGTAAGTGAGCAGAAGGGGCTCTTGACTCCGACTCCTGGGACAAGGATAAAAGGAGTTTTAAAGGACGAAACAGGTTCTGGAAAATGCCCTTTGAAAGAGAGCTGAATAATAGGGATAGATTACTCAACCTTAACCAATAATTAATGAATCATTAAAAGAAAGGTATAAGACGTATAAGCTAGGTACTAAAAATATTCCCACCTTAAAAAAAAAAAGAAAAAACAAAAATATAAATAAAAATACAATATTGCTTACAAAATATATTTATTTGCTTTATAATAATAAACTAATTAAATAATTTGAATTGTTATATAATTTAATTTTTTCTTTTACCAATCTATTTATTTATTTTTTTAGCTGAATGCTAAAGTGATTTACTATATACCCTATCTAAAATCACCCCAAAAATAATCTTTCCAACTGTCATTTTAGATCCCCCGCCATCTTTGGAACCCAGCCAGCTGCCAGAAACTGCCATAGATATAATGGGAAAATCAGAAAACATATGAAAGCGGTTTAATGAGCTTGCTCGAAGAAGGGGATTTCGTATAGATACAGCCGTTTTATAAGCTCGCAGCTCCATTCGGCACTTGGCCATCAGACAGCCACAATGTATCCATTTCACCACCCCCACTAAGCCCACCGCCCACCGCCCACACATCGTCTGCCAACTCTTCGGTATCCTGGCCAAGGACCTCCGCCTCCACCAGGCATTAACCGCAACATTTTCGTCCTGTCAGCAAATTTTGGGGACAAACATCGTTTATACTTCTGCATTGGTCATGTATGCCGCCAGAACTCAGAATCCTGAGTATCCAGAGCCAGAAATCCGAAATGAGGAGTCAGGACTAAGGACTTAGAAATCAGGACCCATCCTGCCCGCAAATTGTCACTGCTGCTGGCTAATCAATTGTCGTTCTGGAGCTTCTACAGCCAGGGAACAATTTTTGGTGAGCTCAGCCTGCGGTTTTTCCTCGTATTTGATTTAGAAATTTGCAGGTAATGAAGCTGTTTAATGTCCTGCCCGCCAGGGGGCGTTGGCAGCAGCAGTCCTGCGGCTAGCCACTCAACTAACTTGGCCCTTTCATCCGTTCGGGATCAACTCTGTGGACCGAAGACACTGCGGTTTGGGCCAAGAGGTGCCCTGCTCCTGATCCTGGCCGGTGATGTCATAAGTAGCGAGACATAAATTAACGCAGGATACTCGGTTTCTGTTGCTCAAATGTGGTTGTGCTTGGGGCTCAAACTCCTGGCTGATTCAATTTTAAAGACAATTTTCCGATTGAGCGAGCCCAAAGCAATTATCCTTTTTGCATTTGGGGGACAAATTTTGATACACCAATTGTCATGTGTTTGTGTTTGGTGTGAGCTGCAACTGGCAACTGGCAACTTTCGCCTCGAATTCATTTGCAATTAAACGCATAAACATTTTAATTATGCCAGAGCTTCGTCCGGGAAAGTTTCACTAACCCCCAAAGCGATCCCCCCCACCCTAACCATGGATAACCGAACCCCCTTTTTGACTACGCCTCAGCGCTCTTTGTTTGCCAAGTTTTTGGCGCACATGCATAATGAAAACTTTCCACGGCATTGTGAGTGCAAGGCAAAAGTCGACTGAGCCAAAGTCTGGCTATCAATTTGTTTGTTTGGCCTTTTGTCGGTGGTTGGGCCTTATAGCACCCCCTCCACCTTTCCGTACAGGTTGTGCTACTAAGCCGCAAAAGCTTAGGCGGCAGCTTAATGAATTTACATAACGCACACACAAATCAAAAGCCAAAAAGGAGACCAAGTCCCCTTCACCGCAAGAAGGCTAATCAGCTTGGGGAAAAGTTTTCACGAGGGGGGTGGCAGGGCGAAATTATGCGAGTTTTCAGTTATTAAAAGGCAACCTTAGAAGTCAAATCCTTAGAAAAATACGCAATAAATAAAAATCAAATCGTTTGAACAGGAAATAAATGAGAAACTTTCTTTTTTCCAGCCCCAGTCAGGGGCATTCATCAATGACAAAAATCAACGTGGAGCCAAGCTGCTGCCTTCAATCGATGACAATGAGCAGCGAAATTGAATTGAAAATTAATGTGGAAATTAAAATGAAAAATGCTGTATGCTGCATGCTGCCTGACTGAGTTGACATATTTTCATTAAGACAACCAAATCAATTGAGAAATTGAGAAATCGTGCGGCCCCCGCAGGAATTTCGTACTTAATCTTCCAATGGAATACTTATGCGGGCAGGCAATTATTTACCAAGAAAGCAACTTGGGCTTCGGTGATATATGAAGCGTTGTCCAACAATTATTAGCTGACCCCAAACAGACAATTGGCCAACATATTTGTGTTTGCCATTCGCCGGACCCTGGCAATAAAATTAAAAGTCGCAACCGCCGAACTGGCTCTGCGAAAAAGGACCTCTTTTTTGGGCTGTGAGAGAAAAGGTTTTACTTGCACCGCTATTTATGGTCATGTGTATATACCCACACAACCGGCTAAGAGTTGAATTTATTGCCCCAACTCCTCACCCTTTCTTTTTTTTTATAGCCTTTTCAGCCCCGGGCACATCCACATCCATACACAGCTCGTGTTTGTCTTGGGCTTTTGTTTTCGCCTCGTTTCTTTTCTGTTTTTCCACTCCGGTCCAGATTTTTCCCCAAACAAAAACCAAGGAATACAAAAAGAAAAGCGCCTTACTTCTGCCACTGCATTTATTTCACTTGATTTTCAAACAAAATTTATAAGTTGCGCGTCGCGTCGTTTATTTTGTTTTAATAGCAAAGCAATTTCAAATATAAAGACATTACCCAGCGGAACGGGAAAATGGTGTGTGTGTGGCTCGACTGCCAAGTTGCCAAGGCCTGAAAGCATCCTGCAGTATGGTATTTTGGGCCAGGTTAGCACGACTCGGGGGAAAAGTTAAGTAAAGAATTTTGGCAAGGACAAGTAATGGGGAAAAAGGCAGAACGAGCGATGCAGAAGAGCTGCTCAGCAGAACTCTTTCCGAGGGCGAATCGAGAATATTGATAAAAGGGCCCTTAAAATAGATTACAATAATTGAAGAGCCATCGAGGGCGAACTTTTCCTTTCCTTTCATTGTGAACTTCTCGCCAGCTGCTGACCCCGTGACCTCCTTCGGGATTGTGAGAAGCGCGTAGAGGGGCGCAGTTCATAATTGCCGTTTCACGAGCTTCGCCACACAAATACAATTGTGCTCCCCACCCACGCAAAAGGGGGGGGGGGGGAGGTATCGAAATCGAATCGAATCGAAATCGAATGGAGCATAAAAGACTGGCTGTCTGCAAGGACTTCTTTTGAATCCCCGGCTTGGGAGACGTGCGTTTTTGTAGTGTGACCAGCTGTTGTCTTGCCCGCAAAAGCTCGATAACAATCGCAAATGGCTTGTTACAATAACTACAATCTGTGGCAACGGAAAAATGGGACCTTATCAGTTACGGCAAAGTCAATTTGGGACCAACACATGTCCGTGTTCGCACGACTCGATATTAATAAACACTTAAGCCAAGGACTGGCGACCGCAATACAATGTCCTCGAATCGGGTTCCCCAGGATGTGTGCGTCCCCAAATGACACATGTGTCTTAAAATGAATGGCATCATTTGCGGATGACAGGCGACGACCAGGACACGGTCGTCAGGACACAGCCCTGTTGCCAGATATTAAATTCACCCTGCCCTGCCAGCCGGTTGCCAAATAATGCGTATTTCATTAGAGTCCAAACAAAAGTGGCGACAAACACGACAAGCACCGGGCAAATGGCCTGGGATCCTAAGATCCTACTCTATCCCACCATCGATTCGACTGGGTTTATGTCCCAAGGAGGTCTATTTTTCACTCAGCCTAATGAGATGTTCTTAGGGCCCATTCATCTTCATCCATCTTTCGCTTTTCCCTAGCCACGGGTTTTCGGCATTCTTTTATGAATTATGGTAGATAATGTTCGACAATGGTCATCAAATCGAAATGACAACTTATATATATGCAACTATTTCAGAGTCCATCAGGTTTATCTGTCCTAAGAAAAAGAGCGAAACGCCATTTTCAAGGACTCACATTTCCTGCCAGGTAAAGTGAGCCACTTGGTGGAATGGCATTGGCTTGGACTTTTGGATACGTGAACCTCTGAGAACCAAATATCTTTTCGGACACCCGCAAAATCCCACATTAAGCTTCGGTTCAGACCGAGAGAAATTTTATATGCCACACAAATATCAAATAAAAATGTCTGGGAAACAGCACCTTGACATGTTTAAGCTTTTATCTTTATATATTTCTTCCATTTTCTTTTTTCGTTTCTATGGCTCCATTAAGTTGCCCTATTTGCACACATATTTTTATTTTGAAAGCAAAAAACAGGCCTTTCTTAAAAATGAGTGGATGTCTGAGGAAAATTATAAGGATAATGAATATGCGGAAAATATTTAAATAAATATCTGGTGTGAACCACAAATCCATAGGGTCTTGAAATCGCTTTTAAATTTAATTTTTCTGCCTAAAAGTATGCAGCGAATAGGTATAATCATAGTTGCTCTGAGCTTAAAATATATTGTTGCATACTTTTAGACACTTTAAATGATTTTAGTTACGTAAACCTATAAACTACTTTGAAAGAGGTTTATATTCACAACTCAAAATGCAATCAATTCAAATAAAAATCACTTTTTTTAATCGCCTTTTCCTTGGAAATCCCCCAATGGATTTTTGAGGCCCAGAGTGGCCATTCCAACAATGTCCGGATTAATCAGTGTTAGTCACTGCCAATTTGGTCTTTACCCAATACCCAATACCCATTGCATATATGCATTTTGGGTGGCAAATTAAAGAGGTGTTCCCCATATCGTTGGCTTCTGGTGTCTGTCGACAGGCGATGAGATCCGATTTTCCTCCTAAGGGGAAACCCCAGCTCCACATCTATGACCCCCTCCCCCAGTCGAGACGAAGGCCATCCATTGTTCCCTTGGAAGGCCAAAGCCGGGGTGATCAGCACATGGGGATACAATGTGGATACAACAGGGGTGCAAAATTAATTATACACGCATGCATAGACAAAGGATAGGGGGGTGTTCAGGGTGTTCAGGGGGTGGGGAAAAGGGGGGCGGATGAGGTGTGGGTGGAGAACACCTCATAATAATCACTGGTGGCATGTGCTAATACGATAATGGGCGACCAGTTGGCAGATTCCCCAATCCCCAAACCTCTGCTCTCCTATCCTGATCCTTCCGCCAAACACTTTTTCTGCTATGGATTTTTGCCTTTCCTTTTTTGCTATCTGTTTTATTACCTTTTTGCTATTTATTTATTACCACTAAGAACACACACACATGCACGCTTACCTACATATATGCTCCACATATTCAGCACATCCGGCACGCCCCCTTTTGCCGCCCCCCTCGCACTTTGAGGCCCCATAAACAAATATATTAAATTTTAATGCTTAATTTATGTGCAGATTAATTTCGTACATTTTTCGAGGCGCAGATTAGTTTTCGCCATCCTTCCGCTTTCACTGCTTTTTCCGCCCTTCCGCCCATACCGCCCATCCCGCCCCCTGGAACGCTAGTTCTGATAAGTAGTGGGCGTGGCAGTTTCTCTTAAACGCTTGTTAAATGAATTTTGTATGAATTTTGCTTTTAATGCGTTCGGAAATTTGCGGAAATGCGGGATATATAAACATGAAAGAGCTCTCAAGGCAGGCAGTATTTAAAATTATTTACAAATATCCTTATCATAAAAGAAAAAAAAAACAATCGCTTTATAACAAAGGAGCTTAGGAACTTAACATCATTCTAGTATTGGAAAAATATTTAACAATGGAATACAATCGCTTGAAATCACTGAAGCGAATGTTTTTCATTTTGTTAAAAAGATGAAAATGAAAATAGACATTCCAATAGGGTTTTCAACTTTTTAGGGATATATTTTTTTTGTGTTCAATAGTGTAGCTTAAAATTAAGCGAAAAGACAAAAGCAGAATAATATATTTTGCCAGCTAATCATTTTTATGGTATTTTTGATACAAGTGTTGGAAAACGCAGAAAATACTGCATTTTATGTTGGTATTTTTTTCACAAAAATAGTAGCCTTTACGTAATCGTTATGTAATTGGTAACGTAATACATGATAAAGCACTTTTGCCTGAACCCCCATTAAAATAACATGTTATGCTTTTTCACAGATGATTTTTCGATTTGTTATTTAATTTTTGACTTACAAAGATACCAAATTGCTTTTAAAAATAAATAACAAATCGAGGCAGGCCATGAATGCATATTTTTTGCATTTTGCCAGCTTGTTGGAGGCCGACAGTCCAAAATTGGGTAGGATTAGGCCTGGATATTGTCCTCTTCGTCGGAGGATCCGGTATAGGGATTCATTGGAGTCAAGGCATCGAGTTCGTCGTCGGAAAAGGGGCCACGTGGAGTCCCAGGACGAGGCACCTCAGTGGGGTAATCATCATCGGAATAGTAAGAGCGATCGGCCCAGCCATCGCACTCATCATCAGCATGGTTAGGATCTGAATCATGCCCAGAAGGGGCGGTATCCCAGCTGCCCAGCGAATCGTCATCGCCGACAACGGTCTGATCTGACCATCCCTCATCCGAGGGGACTTTGGTGTTATCGGAATCGGCGCTCAAATTGGAGCCCACCTCGAAGAACTCCTCCTCCTCCTCGTCCTCCTCGGCGATCTGCTCCAGAGGGTGGACATCCTTGGCCGGGGAATCCCCGCCTGCCTGGGGATCCTGCTCCTTGACCACTTCGGCCTCCTTTTTGTTAGCCTCCTCGGCCTGGGCGAGCATGTTCCGGGCCTTCTTGTTGCGACAACGAATGCGAATGCGCGGCTTCTTGGGTTTCTTGGTCACCTGGTTGGTCACCTGGCTGGTCACCTGGGATGGCTGCTCCTGGCTGGCCTGGGATTGGATGGTCGCAGCAGGCTGCGACTTTGAACTCGACGGATTGGAGCGAACCAAGTCGCCGCTGAGCACAAGCACATTGCTGGCCACCGAGCCCTGGACCTTGGGGCTCATTAGCAGTATCTCGCTGGAGTCGTTCATCTCCAGGGTGATCTGCTGGATGCCGGGCACCTGGTTCAGCGACAACTTGGCCAGCGTGGCCTGGAGGCGCTTCTCCTCCACCGCTGGCGAGGATTGGACGTGCTTGTGCTTGCGGCGCACCGATCCCTTGCCGCCAATGCGCACCACATCCTCCATCTTCTTCAGCTTGCTCAAATCCATCGTTCTCTTCTAACTTAAATTTATACGTTTAGAAAGTTCTTTAAATTTATCAAGAGTATTTATAGTTACTTTTTTGGTTTTGGAAAAAAAAAATAGATTTTTTTTTGTTCACTTTTTTTCACCTTTGAAAAATTAGGAAGTTTAGTTGTTATCAGCCCGAGGGAAGTGAAAAAACTGAGGCTCATCGGAGAAATCCCGAACGGGTTGACTTTACTTTGAAGTCAAGGCCTACTACTGGAGCACTAAAATCCAAACAAAAAAATCAGGGCTACTCAGTTTTTACAACACTATGTTCGATTTAAATAATTATTTTTGTACAGTTTAAATACATTTGTTACTCTTATTTTAATAAATACAAAAATATGACATTTTAAGCGTAAAATAATATGAGTTTCTATTTTGAACAAAAAAATTACTCCTTTTTTTTAGCGGTTTTTTAATCGTAGTTTGGTCAAATCAAGGGGTACAGCTATAAGACCGACTGTGACATTCCTCGATCTGACGATTATTTTCTTTATAGCGGCCAAAAAACTGAATTTTTCGGGCAAAAAATGGAGTTCCGATTTTAGTCAAAAATACGAGATTCAAATTTTTGTCAAAAATTATCTTTTTTTCCAGTTTTTCAATCGTTTTTTTTTGCGAAAAATGTGAAAATTTAAAAATTTCCAGGTTTGAACGCTAATGGATTGGAAATTAAGCAACGAGCTCAACGAGGTATTACATTCCTGGATCTAACGATTATTTTCTTTATAGCGTCTAAAAAACTGGATTTGTAGGGCGAAAAAATGGGATTCCGATTTAGTCAAAAATTCGAGACTCAGATTTTAGTCAAAAATACGATATTTTTTTTCAGTTTTTCAATCGTAGTTTAGTCAAATCAAGGCGTACAGCTAAAAGACCGACTGTTTTGAACAGCTTGCTAAATTTGCTAACGATCCCAATCAATTTAAGGAAAATTTATTTTTTGACCTATTTTCGCATTTTTTGTAGGGGGTGCATCGTATTTTTTAGCAAAAAATGTGAAAAGTTAAAAATTTCCAGGTTTTAATGCCAATGGATTGGAAATTAAGCAACGAGTTCAACGAGGTATGACATTCCTCGATCTGAGGTTTTCTTTTTTTATAGCAGCCAAAAAACTGGATTTTTAGGGCAAAAAATGGAGTTCCGATTTTAGTCAAAAATACGAGATTCAGATTTTATTCAAAAATGCGATTTTTCTATCCGGTTTTTCAATCGTAGTTTGGTCAAATCAATGCGTACAGATAAAAGTCCGACTATTTTGAACAGCTTGCTAAATATACTAACGATCCCAATTACTTTAAGGGAAATTTATTTTTTGACCAATTTTTGGATTTTTTGTAAGGGGGTGCTCGTCTTTTTTTGCAAAAAATGTGAAAAGTAAAAAAAATAAAAAATTTAGGTTTGAATGCCAACGGATTGGAAATTAAGCAACGAGCTCAACGAGGTATGACATTCCGCATTCTGCCCTTTATATTCGTTATTACAGCCAAAACACTGATTTCTTAGTGCGGGAAAATGTGATTCAGATTTCTGTCAAAAATACTCCTTCCTTAGCGGTTTTTCGATCGTAGTTTAGCCAAATCAAGGCTTATAGCTATCATAAGGTCAAAAGGTAACAGATATTTCCCTGACATCCAGTAAAATGCGGTTCCTTTCGGGACCACTGATAAAACTTTAGATATCTAGGTAAGCCATGAGTTTTAAGACGTAGTGATTTGACATTTAACTTTTAATTAAACCCATTTTAAGAGTGGTGAAAATCACCCTATTTTCGTGAGTGATGAAAGTGGAGACAGTGCAGCAAACAAAGTGACGGACGACCCGAAAAGTACAATTGAAAGGAGGTCAGGACGGGGAACAAACGGATGTACAGACAACAGTTCTGGCCACTTTGGGTCCACTCCTGGCCAGAATTAACCTACAAAGTTGCTGTGTTGCTATGGTCATTTGGCTTCGGGGGGACTGATTAAATTGCGAGATTTTCACTGCCATAGCTGTCATTGTTGTTGTTTGTGGCCTCGTAAACATTTCAGTGCAATAAACGTTTATTTGATTTTATTTGTTTTAATGCGGCGGGGCCACGCCAGTCCGCCTCTTAACTGGGCTCAGAGTGGATTCGGTTTGGCTCAGAATGGTTCAGGATGGTTGAGAAAGGCTCAGCGCCTCTGCCAATTGCCGTTGGCTGTTTGCTTGGCGCAGTGGAATGTTTTTTTCGCAGTCACTGTGGCCGCGTAAAAAGCTCGCGGCATTTTCCTCAGCCTCCGCAGCTCATTTGTATGTGTAGGTGAGTGTATCTGTGTGTGTGTGTAAGGATGTGGGGGCGTGTACAAGGATAACCAGCCGCCCACTCACTCTTTTGGCACAAAAGCCGCACAGTTGTCAATAGAAAAAGAGGAAAACTTTAACTTTGTTGCTGCACTTTTCGGCGGCTATGAAATGGGAAAGTGTAAAAGTGTTGGGGGGGGGGGGGATGGGAGGTCCTCGAGGGTAACACACACAGATACACTCACACACACACAGAGAGACAAAAATGCGGTCATTGTTACGTTTATAAACAGAATGGGCATGAGGGGCATCCTGACCGCATTACCAACTGCCAAACTGACCAGCAAAAAAAAAGGTGAAAGGAAAGGCAGGGGCGGAGGGAGCAAAAAAAAAACAGCAGGAGGGGTTTGCAATATTTTCTGCAATGCTGCACATTTAAGCCAAAAAAAGAGAGGGGATGCACTCACCTGACCAGGTGACTATATTTTTGGTCTTCGAGTTTTTCCGATGCTCTCGAGTAGCATTTCGTTAGATAATTTTGGTTTTTTACTTGTTTTGTGATTTATAACAAGTGCTAGAATGCTGGGATGCCAGGTAGCCAGGTTGCCAGGACGCCTGAAGGGCAATAAGGAGCTGAACTAGAGGAGGATCCTGGCAGTGGCATAATCTACAGTTTGTGTTTTCAATGACTGTCAGCAAGTGCATTTGGAGTTATGTCAGGCCAGGGAAAATTCTGGGAAAACTCAGGGGGGGACTTGGGGTGTGGGTGAGCAATGGAGTGCCAACTGGCGATGACTGCATCCTGATTGTGTTGACCACAGTGCCAAAGTGCCCTGGCATCCTGGCATCCTGGCACACTGGCATCCTGGGGAGCGGAACTCAATCGCCAGTCACAAATGGCAAAAATTGTAGCACCGAGAGCCAGCCAACGGAATTGGAAATCTAAATGCACGGAAGTGTTGATAGGGGTTTTATTTCAATTTAATTGGTATCTTTCTTGGTCCAAGGAACACAAGGAGAAGCACTCAAAGAAAAAGGTAATAGAACATTGCATACGATAGTTGGAACTTTCTTGCCCTTAATATATTTCAACTCAATAAACAGAAAGTTGGGCACAACTCTGCCACAACACATTGATCTATATTTTTATTGCATAAAAAGTAAGCTTTGAGTTGAAACTCAAGACCAGGTTATTTCTGGGCAGCCTGTCAACAATTGAAATTGCAAAAAGAAAGCAGCTTTCATCTGCACATATTTCCCTCCACTTTCTCCTCGCAATTTCCCTTCCATTCGCTTTTGCTTTTCCACAAAGCAGCAGAGCTGTCAACTGTTTGGCGATAAACAAAGGACCAAACAAATGAACAATTGTCACCTTCTCTGTCTTTGGCCTTCAGTTTTCATAGGGGTAGTATAAGGGGGGATAAATACTGGGGGCTGTCAGAGGGACCCCACACTTATGGGTCTTTCGATTATTGCCGATGAGCGATGGAACCCCTCACTCATGTACATATGTAGTCCCAAACGCTTGGACTCATCTCCTTTCAGCTGATTATAATGGCTGCACTGAGAAAAACCCATATATAAATCTATGATATCCCTTATTGATATTACTTCCTTGCTGAAATATGGGTTATTATACAATTTATTTTTAAATGTATCAGTATCTTTACCAATCCTTAAAATGGTTTACTTAACAATTACCCACTACAAATGATTTTTAAGGTTAAGCTTACCTTGCTTAAATGTTGCTTTCTTAGGGGATTTGTATTTAAATTACTATATTTGTTTTTGAACATTTAAGATAATCGATAACCTTAGGATTTTTAAGTTACTTATATACTCAATATTGCTTAAAAAATTTGAAATAATAAAATGAGCTTATCTAACCTCCCCAAGAATGTATTTTATATATATTATTCTACGAAAGCTGGCTATGCTATATTCTTTTATGGTAAGCTTATGATATAGCTGAGTAAAATATAAACAAAATAATAATTGCATTTATAGTACCTATTCCAAAATCCTGAATCTCTTAAATACTTTTTTTAAATGAGATAAGTACATTTTCTCAGTGTACGCAGGTCGAAGGCATTTGACGTGCTTAAAGAGCTGAGATGAAGAAGATCTGGGGATTCCGGGCGGAACACGTTAAGTTGATTAATTGCAAATTTGAAGAAAACAAACTGCAAGTCAAGCCAAGACAGCCACTGAAGCCGGCACTGAGAGAAATCTCCCAGGGTTTTCCCAGGCCAATTTCCATGGCTTAAACTCTGGGTTATCCCGGCAACTCGAAGTGAAAAGTGAAAAGTGGAGAGAGCAGGGGAGAAAAATCCAAAATCGAGCGGGCAGGCGAAATTAAATTAAGCAAATGCTTGGCAAACTGTCTGCCTCACACACACAGATACACACACATACACACACACTGTGAAACAAAAGGAAAGTGTGCCAGTGTGTGTGTGTGTGAGTGGGGGAAATGGATTTTGGGTTTTTCTGAGGCTGAGTGAACGATTTGCTGGCCGTTTTTTCCTGTCACGCGCGCTTTGTTTGCCATTTTGAAAAATGCCCAATGCACACACACATGCACAGCCAAATGGGGGCGGTAGGTGTGGCAGGATGTGTGCGTGTGTGTGTGTGTTTGTGTATCTGTGAGATACTCACGTTTGGCTCATAACTGAAATTCAGGCTTTAAAGCTCAACGACTCCTGGCAGAAGGCGGATAAACCAGACAATGTCCGACAGGCAGGACACTCTGGACTCGCAGGACTCACAGGACTCGAAGGACACACCCGATGTTGTTATGGCTGCTCATATTTACGTCACCAAAATGCTTAACCCGTTTATGCCATTAAAAGGATTTCACAGGCCGCTGAAGCCG